CACAGGCAAGGAAATGATACGCCAACCATGGTTATCCCATTCCCCTCAGCCATAAACATTTCCCTGGTCTTTCCTGTGGCTGGCAGCAGTCTTGTAATATAGTTCAAGCACATGAGACTTAGGAGAAAATGGGATGGATGCTCTGGAAAAGATTCCGTTCTGTTAGGCAAGCGCAAGAGGAGGGATTGCTTGCTTGGTCTCCTTCCTCCTCCTCACGTTGTAAAGGAATGTGATGCCTAGAGCTGAGGCAGCCATTTTGTGACCTGGCAGAAGTGAACATGAAGGCATAGCAGAGTCAAAGACTGAGAAACCAGGGCCTCAAGGATACACCAGCAGACCACCTACCTCTGAACTTCGGGAACTGCGTAATAACAGCTTCTCATTTAAACCTCTGCTAGTGGATTTCTGTTAACTACAGCTGAAAGCAGTTCTAAATTTTTAGTTTATTGTTTTTTAAGATTTTATTTACTTATTCAAGAGAAAAACACAGAGAGAGGCAAAAGGATGTGGGACTTGATCCCAGGACCCCGGGATCACGCCTTGAGCCAAAGGCAGATGCTCAGCCACTGAGCCACCCAGGTGCCCAGCAATTCTGAATTTTTAAAAAAACATTTTCTCTAGCAAGCGATGACTTTCTGCCCAATCTCATTCCCATTGCAACATATTCTGCTTACACTACATGCAACTAAGAAGTGTCAGGATTATATTTCTCCTGGATAGTTAGTTGAGACCAATTTAGTTACTTTACAGTACCTCACCTGTAGGACTCTATTAAATTTCATCAATAAGGAAGACATTAGGGGGAAAAAAGCATGATTTGGAATCATGTTTGTTTGTTACTGACTTTAATCCTTCCTTCTGCCATCTCAAATCCTTTGTGGAAATAAGTACCACATATAGTAACAAACCGATAAATGAAATCTATTGGAACTAAACTCTTCTGTCTCCCATTAGTAAAAAAAAATAAAATATTAGAATTTCACTCTTGAATCTGCAGGCCCAAACCTGGCCCAGTCAATATTTTCACACATCAATGCTCACAACCAAAGAGGCTTACCAGCACTACACCAAACTCACGGTACTGCTATTTTCTCCTACTATAATGGAATATATGGGTTATAATAAAATTTAAGTGTTGCTAAGACATTAAAAGTCAGACTAGCAAGTATTTAAATAGTTATTTTAACCATATTTTGATGGACATTTTTTTTAAAGATTTTATTTATTTATTCATGAAAGACAGAGGGGGGGGGCGGGCAGAGACACAGGCAGAGGGAGAAGCAGGCTCCATGCAGGGAGCCCGACTTGGGACTTGATCCCGGGTCTCCAGGATCAGGCCCTGGACTGAAGGCAGCGCTAAACAACTGAGCCACCCAGACTGCCCCGATAAACATCTTTCAAATCTATGTTCATCTCCATGATTCCTGCTGCACCCAGTTCTGTACTTGCCCAGGCCACATTCTCCTTGCACCCAGCACACAAGAGAAGCTGGTTCAGTGCCCCCAATCCTCTCTGCCCTCCAGTGCTCTCTCCACACTGTCCACAGCCCAGTCCTGCCTACTAGCAGTTCCTATAATGACCAAAGTCTACACCACTCACTATTCTTTCATAATTTCTTTCTAACCTCATTTGTCATCTTCTATCCCTAGGCTTCCTCAGAAAAAAAAGGTCAACAGCCTCCCTACTTGGAAGGAACAAACAACAGCCATGAGGAGCCATTCGTCCTCCTCTCAATTATGAAACCATCTCTTCTCAGTTGCCATTCAAGAAAAAAATGAGCTAGTACTCCCGATTTTGAGTACAAATATGAGTATGAACAGATATCTACGTATGTGCATATATATGGGCTCAGTATTTTTCTAGTTTTAAAAAAAAGAGAACAAATGCTCATTTTTTGTTAAGTTGCAGAGTGCTTTTACTGACTCCTCCCTTCTATCCTTTATCCAACCACTTTCTGATATTATATGACCTTTCACCCACATGGTTCATCCCACACACTAGCATATTCCCTTCTTGCTGATAAACTAATCAGGTAAGATGGAAACATTACTGAATTTACATAGATGTCTATGTCAGACTTCTCTAAAAATGTTAGGACATGGTGCTAGTTTACATCAGCATCTTAAAAGTGTGATCCAGAGACCCCACGTGGAAGGTCCATGGACCCTTTTGGGGGATTTCCCATGAGTGTACAATAGCAAATCCAGAGGATACATAGTGTGTGATGATAATGTGTTATGCTAACAACTAGTGAAACATATGCTCATATATTCTTGTGTTTTTAGAATTCTCTAAGGTATTAAATTTAAGGCATAAATATGGATGTTTTCAGAAATTAGCTGAGTGTATTATCAGTACTTCTATGCTCCTAGCAATAGCAATCTTTGGTAGTATCTGCTATAATCCCTGCAACTTCATTATCATCCAGTGAATTCATTTAGTGATTAAAGAAAAAAAAGGTTGAATATTTTAAACACTGACATGAGCTTTTTTTTTTTTTTTTTAAAATTTGTTAGAGAGAGAGAGAGCATGAGCGAGCACACACAGAGGGAGTGGGAGAGGGAGAAGCAGACTCCCCGCTGAGCAGGGAGTCAGATGCAAGGCTCGATCCCAGGACCCCAAGATCATGACCTGAGCCGAAAGCTGGTGCTTAACCAACTGAGCCATCTAGGCAGCCCCCAGACATGAGCTCTTTATAGGAAAAGACTGGGACACCTGGATGGCTCAGTGGTTAAGCATACGCCTTTGGCTCAGGTCGTGATCCCGGGGTCCTGGGATTGAGTCCTGCATTAGGCTCCCAACAGCGAGCCTGCTTCTCCCTCTGCCTATGTCTCTGTCTCTCTGTATCTCTCATGAATAAATAAATATATTTTAAAAAAAGAAAGAAAAAAATAAAAGCAAAAGACTTCACATATTAGAAATAAAAAAGCCACAGAAGCATTATACACGGTAAATAACCACAATGCACTGGTTGGAACAGTGCACTCAATAGCTGAAAAACCAATGAAGCTTGGTACAGTTAACACTGCTGAATGTCTGCTAGATGAAAAAAATCAGTAAAAGAAATCATAGCAGTGCCACTTAAAAATAATGTATTGTCTCATCAAATTAAAGATTTAGTTGCAAACATGAGTTACAAGTTAATATCTCGCCTTAAAGACTGTACTTATGCTTTATGAGTTGACAAATCTTTAGACGTGGGTGGACTTACTGTTTTGTTTTCACTATTCCAGTATCCATGCCAACTAATCAAAGGTCTTTTTTTATGTGAATGGTTGAAAGAAATAAGAATGCTGTTGAATTACTCAAAGTATTAAATAACTTTTTGAGTCTCATGAATTATCCTGAAACAACCATGCTGGTATCTGCTCTGATGGTACAAAAGCAAAGGCAAGCAAAACTGCTGGGCCTTTGGCATGAATCAAGGCAGAGATATAAAACTGTACTAGTAATAATTATATTCTTCACCATACAAGCCATTCCTTTTTAAAAAAAGCCGGTTTCACTTCACAATGTCCTTAATAAAACATTAAGAGTTACTAATTTTATTGCACCTCACTCTTGAGAACTTGGGTCTTTTTAATATTCTGTGTGATGAAATGGGAAGTACACAAAAACACTTCTGCATATTTAATACAATGGCTGCCTTAAAGAAAAGCATTTATGCAATTGTTGGGAGTTGGGAGCTAAACTATACATTTTTTTTCACAGAATACTATTTTTGCTTAAAAGAATAACTGGCAGACAAAAGATAGCTATTCAGACTGAGGTATCTGGCAGACATTTTCTCTAACATGAAAAAAGTTGAGCGAGATACTTCAAGGAAAAAACTGACAATATCTGTTGCCAATGATAAAACTTGAGCTTTTAAGAAAAACTTAGAATTTTGGAAAACTTGAATTCAACACCAAAATCTTTTTTTTTTAAGATTTTATTTATTTATTCATGAGAAACAGAGAGACAGGAGGTAGAGACACAGGCAGAAGGAGAAGCAGGCTCCATGCAGGGAGCCTGACATGTGACTCAATCCCAGGTCTCCAGGATCACGCCCTGGGCCAAAGGCGGCACTAAACCACTGAGCTACCCAGGCTGCCCCAAAAGCAAAATCCTGACCACTTCCCAACTCTCAAAAACTTTTTTGATGAGAATAATGGTCATTTTAATAAAGGCAATTTGTTAAACATTGTGTAATCAAATGTGTCAACATTTGAAAGATCTGCATAACTCTGTAAACCATTATTTTTCAAATGACTGATGAATGATATTACAAAATCACATACAGGTCAAAGATCTATTCAAAGTTCAAGATGTACCAATAGAATTTCAATGTTATCGAATATAAAAGTTCACTGGTATAGTTTCAGATTCAACATTGCAACTACCTTTTAAGAATCTACCGCTTGTTGGGATCCCTGGGTGGCGCAGCGGTTTGGCGCCTGCCTTTGGCCCAGGGCGTGATCCTGGAGACCCGGGATCGAATCCCACGTCGGGCTTCCGGTGCATGGAGCCTGCTTCTCCCTCTGCCTGTGTCTCTGCCTCTCTCTCTCTCTCTCTCTCTCTGTGACTATCATAAAAAAAAAAAAAAAAAAAAAAAAAAGAATCTACCGCTTGTTGAGTCCTGGTGTGACAAAGAATATTCACAATTACAAAAGCTATTAAAATAGTCCACCCTTGGTCAACTATGTATCTGTGTATAGACAGCTTTCTGCATATAATTCAAACCAAACAATCTATCACAACAGATTGAAATATAAAAGCAGTTATGAAAATCCAATTATTTTCTATTAAACAACTTAGTAGAGAAAGTGGCAAAATGTAATGTCTTTGGGGTCCTCGATAATTTTTAGGAGTACATGATGTCCTAACACCACAATGTTTTAAAAACCACTGGTTTAAAAATAAATAAATAAAATAAAAATTAAAAAATAAATAAAACCATTGGTTTATAGCACCACAAAAAAAGAGCACTTATAAGAATGTGTACATAAGAAAATACGCACCTGAAAATGAATCAGGAGATCTCAGCTCCAGGTCTAGCACCACTTCTTACTTGCTCTGATCTGGATAAATTATTTAGTCTTTGTTTCCTCATCTATAAAATGGATAACTCATATCTTGTCCTGAGGATAAAAGAAAAAATATGTCAAAGCAATTTTTGTTTTAAGTTTTTTTTTTAAGATTTTACTTATTTATTCATGAGACACACAGAGAGAAAGAGAGGTAGAGACACAGGCAGAGGGAGAAGCAGGCTCCATACAGGGAGCCCGATGTGGGACCGATCCCAGGTCTCCAGGATCACGCCCTGGGCCAAAGGCAGGCCCTAAACCACTGAGCCACCCAGGGATCCCTGTCAAAGCAATTTATAAACCACATGTTATTACTACAAAGTCTCAAAGAGTTTTTAAACACTTCTAATGACCAAATTTCTCCAAAATTCTTATTTTCAAAAACCCATAACCAAAAGCAGAACTTATAGAAAATGTGAAGGTACTTGATTAGTCAAGTACCTCAAATGTCCAACCACAAAATTTTACTAAACTTTTTCCTCTACAGTTACAATTGGCAATGCATATTTTAACTATTATGGGTATTTCCAAATATACATAAAAATACAGAAAATAACAAAACCCAATGAATCCATCACCTAGCTTCAAAAATTATCAAGAATTTGTCAATATTGTTTTATTTACTTCCCATTTGTGTATGTCTGTACCTATCCTGAAGTTTTTAAAAAACATATATTAGACATCATTTCATCTTGCCTATAAATACTTTTATGTGTCTTTAACAGATGAAAATTTTTTTTAATTTTTATTTATTTTATGATAGTCACACACAGAGAGAGAGAAAGAGGCAGATACATAGGCAGAGGGAGAAGCAGGCTCCATGCACCGGGAGCCCGACGTGGGATTCGATCCGGGGTTTCCAGAATCACGCCCTGGGCCAAAGGCAGGCGCCAAACCGCTGCGCCACCCAGGGATCCCAGATGAAAATTTTTTAACATAACAACAATACCATTAACATGGATAAAAACTTAATGCTTCTAATTCTTATAGATCTAATACATACTCCATGTTCTAATTTCCCGATTGTCTCCTTGTCCACCCCCCACTAAAAAAAAAAAGTCTGTTAGTTTTTAGTTGGTTCAAATCATCAGAAAGTCATTCACCAGTTCATTTTCAAGCGAACACAATATTTTTGGCTAAAGCTAAGAAGGAAAAGAAAATAATACCATACTTTATATCAACTATCTGCCTGAGGAATATGCTTCTCTCCCAACCAAACAACAAAAATTATAAAGTAGACCAGACTGGCAACACTTCAGTGTCCTGAGGCATGACCATTTAGGACACAGCTCAGCTGCTACTCAGGAAGAGAAGTTGATAGGAGACAACCACCCACCACTTCAAAAAGATGAGGTCAGGTCAGCCACAGCATTAGGCAAGCCAGAGGTGAGGTCAGGGTTCAGGTTCTAGAGTGAGCATACTGCTCAAACAAGTCAGGTGCCCAGGCTATAAGGCAACCCTGTACAGGTTTCAACTCAAAGCTCAAAAAAACAATGCTCTAAGCTAGAGACATAATGGAACCATGATCAAAAGTAACAGTTGTGAAATTTATTCAATTTATTCAGCAAACATTTATCAAAGACAACTCTACTAGGTACCATCTAGGATAGGAGTTGTACTTTTTAAAAAAATGTATACAATGCAAACAATAAGCAGCATATACCTCTCTATGCATGCCTTTCCCCGTTAATTTTAAGGGGAAGAATGAAAATTATTTAATATTAATGACCTTGCCATTTACCATTACAATTTATAGTACATCTTTTTTCTGTAAACTGCAGTCTGCCCCACTCTTCATGCAGTAAATAAAACGAATGTGAGTTCTATTGTCCTCTCACACACACTACAGACCCTACCATTTATATCTACAATTCTCTGAATGTTTAGAAGGAAACCAAGGGAATGCTAAAGGATTTCCCACCTCCTCTGAAAACTGTTTTTTTTTTTTCCATAGGCTCCTCCCAAGGATGTCAGAATATACTAGAGAAGCACATGTAATAGACACTTAATATAAATCCGTTTTAGAATCCTTTACCTCAATTTCACCTATAGATCCTGTTAAGTTTAAAACTTCACGAAGTGTGAAGAGGACAGAACATATTTCTTAAAGAATACTTGAGAAGTACTTCATAAGTCTGTCTAAAAACATGAAATAGGGCCGCCTGGGTGGCTCAGCGGTTGGGCATTTGCCTTTGGCTCAGAGCGTGATCCTGGAGTCCCAGGATTGAGTCCCACGTCGGGTTCCCTGCACGGAGCCTGCTTTTCCCTCTGCCTGTGTCTCTGCCTCTCTCTCTCTCTCTCTCTCTCTCTCATGAATGGATAAATAAAATCTTTAAGAACAACAACATGAAATAGTCACTAAAAAAATTTTAGGTGACATTCTACAGAACATCTCATAAATAACAAATCTGGTAGTCAGATAACTACACTGAGTCCAGACTTCCCCATTTCAGAACTGACATTTTGCTTCAAGGTTCTATTTGTAGAAAAAAAAAACAAAACAAAACAGGATAAAAAGGCCTAAGCGGGAGCCTGGGTGGCTCAGTCAGTTAAGCGTCTCTGCCTTTGGCTCAGGTCATGATCCCAGAGTCCTGGGATGGAGCCCTGAATCAGGCTCCCTGCTCAAGGGAGAACATGCTTCTCCCTCTCCCTCTGCCTGCTGTGCACATCCCATCTGTCAAATAAATAAATAAAATCTTAAAAAACAAAAACAAAAAAACCCTAAACTTGAAGCAGTATTTCCAGTGAGACCACTAACTCCCCCACCAATTTTTAAGAAGACATAATAAGGCACACAAAACACAACACACCCCAAATTTACCACTGGATTCCTGTACCATGTGGGTAAGACCTAGAGAGCTATCATCCTTTACCCTATTTCTCCTATCTGTTTATTAAGATGAATAGTTTACTTCTACTGTCTGTACACCTCGTTTGTGTGTGTTCTCATAGAAGGCACCATCAAACAAACTGTGTTTGGAATTTAGCTTCACTTTACAGCACTACTGTTACAGGATTAGTTTCTAATGGAGAATTGGACCTAAGTATACAGCCCCACATATACATCACAACCCTAGGTATACTATCAACAATGCTATTAACCTCACTGTAAAAACACGAGATTCTTAGCAAATGGCAGCAAAAAAAAAAATTGAAGATAAACAGTTTAATGAGGAGTTAAAAACTCAAAGCTTGGGACACCCGGGTGGCTCAGTGGTTAGGCGTCTGCCTTTGGTTCAGGGCATGATCCTGGAGTCCCCGGATCAAGTCCCGCATCGGGCTCCCTGCATGAGGCCTGCTTCTCTTTCTGCCTGTGTCTCTGCCTCTCTCTCTGTCTCTCATGAATAAATAAATAAAATCTTAAAAAAAAAAAAAACAACTCAAAGCTTGCATGCTTCAACCTAAAAAATATTATGTAGGTTTCTAAAAAGAAAAAAAAAAAACTGGTCAAAGTTAATTAAGGTGTACACCTCTACTCAAATTGGTTTGGACTGCTAATAAATACTAAAAAGTTGGACCATTAACATTCATCAGGACACCATACACAAAATAAAGTAAGTGGAACCATAATCAGCCCTCTATAATTTCCTTGACTCTGCCCATTATTATCTTCACTAGACACCACAATTTGTCATCAGATTTTCCATGCAGTGTTTACTATTCCTCTGTCTTCTCCCACAAGAATATAAGGCCCTTCAGGACAAAAATTTTATCTTATTTTCCACTGTATGCCCAGTTCCTAGAACCGTGTCTAATACGTAGCAGAGGCTCCACATAAATTTGCTGAATGAACAGATGGATGGACTTTCTTTCCTCCATACACGTTAACCATCCTTTAAGGCTAAGGTAAAATTCTGTTATCTCCACAAATATTACCTCCCCATTACCTCCTCCAATGCTCCAATCTTTTTCTACCTTATACCATGAATTTGGCACTTCCCAGCTGTCTGGTAGTTGTTTATCTTTACAAATGTGCATACTTCCCTTAAAATTCTTATAATCCTCCTCCCCTTATTAAAGGCATGGATCCTTGTCTCCAGCTTTTGGTATCCACCTCAGTATATATAAATAGCACATCTTTAATAAATGTTTTTTCTTGATTGATTTAAATCTGCAATTAATCTAGAAATCAATGTAGTCAATAGTTCCAACTTTTTATAACCTACACCTCCCTTCCTAATAACTCAGTTGGAATTGCAGTGGGTCTCTACTTTAAATTTACATTTGGCAATTTCAAGTTACACATTCTCATAAAACTTATGTTCATAATTCACTTTATCCATCTCTTCCTCCAAGATTAAATTTTTTGTCATGAAAAACCTTGTGACTTTTTGATACCTATGATGAGGTATCTAATCCCAATCAATGAGGTAAAGTTTCATACCCCCTTCTTGTTGCTGAAGAATTGAAGAGTATTTTTTCCCTTTAGGTCTTTTTTCTTTCATGCCAAGATGTATCCCATTTCCTTCTTTAATGATCATACCCTTGGCAAGCTTTTATTACTTCTTTGTACCTGTCCTTAGTAATCTGCCTTGGATTCTTCCTTTTGAACCACTCCTGTTTCCGCTAGTCATTTATTTGATTAAATTTCAAACTCCTTTCCTTCAGTGTATGAGAATGGCCTCTTCTTAAAGCCAGAGCTTGCTTCTTTAAATCCAGCCAAGCTTTATGAACTTCATCCCCTCACATAGCCAACCCTTGATCATCTGGGCTAATGAAATATAGAAAAATATGAGATTATCCACAACACAAGAGAATTTTTTAAAAAAATTGACATCTGGCTTTGGAATATATCATGTGGCTTTGGGCAAGACTTACTTTCTTAATTACGTTTTTGGTTAAGCCAACATTAGTAATATTTTCTTTTATGACAGTGGATATCTGTCTTGGTTTCAGATTTTGATGCAATTTTTAAAAAGCCAATCAAGCACCAACTGTGGTTTTTTCCTATCAAGTCTTTTAACTAGTTTTCTCAACCTGTTGAAGTCTGTCATAAAAATCTGGTTTCTGTTTCCCCTGATTTCTTTCCTCCCTTTTCTTGGAATTCTGATCCAAATCGACTTACTCTATATTAATTTACTTCTTCATTTTAAAATAGCATTTGCTTGAAAATGCAAAGCATTCTAAAAGCAATTAAACATTCAGTGAAATTTTTAGTCCAAATAACACAGGATAGAAAATCCCACTTTTTTTAAAGATAATCCAGAAAAGGTCAGGTTTCTGGGGAAAATTACACTGGTAATTATAGCAAATTATATTTAGTAGGATGTTGTGACTGGTTGAAGATAGGAAAGCATTAATATTGGACAGCTATGTAAATCAGCTTCAGCAGCATATAATCCTATAGACTAAAAACCTCTACGGAATCAAATTCCCAATATAAGCATTTATAGAAAATACCATCAACCCTGGCCCTTCTTCTGGTCCCAGCCTATAAACCCTGCACCCATCTCAGACCTGATCTCAGCCTCCCTTCTACAAATAAGTTTTTAAATGTGCAAGAAAAAGGGAAAGAACTGGGTCAAGAGGATCTTCTCTTTTGCCCCCTTTTCAGTTACTGTCATTAAATTTTTGGCCACAGAGACCCCTAATCCTCAACTCTACATGACTATTTTTACTTTATAGCTATTCAGTTATTTTACGTCTGAATGTAGGGCAACAGTGCTTGAATTCACTTTCCTTCATACACTATTCACCATATTAACAGCAGAATTAACCATTTCTAATTCCCCATGTGGAACTTTGATAAGTATGTATTATTTTACCCAAAAACTAACTTTTGGGCCGGTGAATTTAGCCCAAATTTTTATATAAGATATTCAATGTTAACCTCCCCCGCCTCGCCCCCCCCCCATTCTTTTAACAGCAACCTTCTACACTAGATTCTTTCTACGACTTTATTTTAAAAAACAAAAACCAAAAAACTTTCGTGGTGCTTAGTCACATTCTGATGAAAATACCTACATGAAGCTACAAATTCCTAGTTTTTCAATTCACTTCTCCAGCTTTTTGCCTTCACCAAATAAGAGAACTCCACAAGTCTTAATTAATTATTGCCTCCCAAGCTGTGTGACCACCAATATACAGGATTGTCAAAGAAAAGTAAATAATTAAAAGTAAACTGGCAACAATTCTCTCCTTCCTTTAAAAATTGACCTTAACTTTAAAAATCTCTCCATGGAGTTTGAAAGAGTACACCACCTTTGAGGAAAGAGTTGTCACCTAGGTGCACTCTCAATCAGCTCCACAAAATCAGGGGCATAAAGAGACACTTTTTCCGACAGCCTACATTCCCCAAATAGAAAGTCTTTCATGGATGGTACATTTCTCAAACACACACACACACACACACACACACACACACACACACACCGGAAGAAAGAAAAGAAACATACCTGGTCATTTTCTAAACAGGTTTGATAGGTTTGGTTGACTCGTAAGAGCAGAGTATTTACTTATAATCTTTTAAAGCAGAAGTGGCAGCCAGAGCACTGGGTAAATAAAAACTTCAGAGAGTCTTAAAAACCCTGCATCTTAACTCACTTCCCCTTGGTTCAAGGGGACGGCACAGCCAGCCAGCCCCACAGCAAATGAGATTATGCAACAGGTTTTTCCTCTCCACTTTATTCATCACCGGCTGGTGAGAGGTGTGCTTTCTCCGAACAATCTCAAACACCCAGACCTGAGGATCCGTGCAGCCGGCGTTTAATAAACTCCTTCAGGATTCTGCAGTATCCATTCATTTTCCAGATCTACTCGTATTTGTCCCGGTTCACCACCGGAGTTTTGTTTGTTTGCTTCAGGGAAATCAACCCAGTATCTGAAAGCCTCAATTCTGTATAAATATGTTCCTCCCTGGTGTTTTATTACCTGAAACCACTCATGAGTAACAGATCCTCGGCTGTCCCTTTGGGCTTTCTTAGTTCTCCGGTTCTACCTGCCCACCACTCGGGCGCGCGGGCCCCCCCCCGCCCCAACTCCGCGACTCGAGCCCCCGCAGGAAAAACCGAGTTTTCGGTTGGTCCGTGAGGTTTAAGAGAAGTCGGCACCGTCGCCACCCAGGTGGCCCCGCCGCTTACACCAAGGGCGAATTTGGGATAATGGGAACCGTCAGGCCGGGGCCCCACTTGGCAGGCGTGTTGTGTAACAGTCGCGCCTGGAAGTGAGCAGCTCCGCCCGCGAAGGTAGCGCGCGTCCCGCGGCGGCCGCTCCTCGCGCCGGGATCCCGCCGCCCGGGGCGCTCGCCGCGGCGCGGCCGGGGGGCGCGTGACCGAGACCCCGCGCGCGGCCGCCCGCCCGCCCCCTTCCCGCTCGGCCCGGCCCCCTGCTAGGCCTACGCCGCCCCCCCCCCCCCGCCCCGACCCGCCGGTGCGGCTCCGGGCCGCCGTCGCCCCCACCCCGCCTCCCGGAAAGGTGGCCCGGACGCCCGGGAAGGCAGAGCCGGCGGGGCGAGAGCCGGCGCGCCGCGGAGCGTCCATGCTGCCGGCGCGGGCGGGCGCCCCGAGCCCCGAGCCCCGAGCCCCGCACCCGCCCGCCCGCACGCTCCGCGCGGCCGGCCCGAGGCCACTTACTTTTGGGGCCGCCGACCTCCCGGCTCCGTCCGGGGGTCCGGGGGGGGGTGAAGCTTGTCACGGCGTCTCCCCTCGGGGCCCCCTCGCCTGCCCGGCTTGCGAGGCGCCGCCGCGGAGCCGGGAGGGCGGCTGCGCTCCCGCTCGCGTCCGTCCCGTCGCGCTCTCCTCCTCGTCTTCTCTTCACTCTATTACCCTCTCCTCTGAGGGGTGGGCGGGGGCGGGAAGCCTCGAAAGAGAGGAGACGTTCGCAACTTTTCTGCGCCCTTTCTCTTCCACCCCCCCCCCACCACACACACTCTCCAGTCAGCCTTGAAACAACAACGCTGAAAGGAGTGAAGAACTCGGGGAGGTGAGGGTGGGGGGCCGCGAGGGGGCCGCGGAGGGGGGCGGAGAAGTGGTGATAATCGTCTAAAAACTGATCAAAGCCCCCCACACAGTGCTCCAAGACCGAGGGGGAAAGGCGTGGGGGGGCGGGTGGGGGGTTGGGGGGAAAGAGAAAGAGTCGCTGGTCAGGAAACTTCAAGCGCGGATGAGGTCATTGGTTTAAAAATAAAGAGATGGCGTCACTTGAAACCAATCCCAGTGAATGAACTCAGCGGAGCCCCGGGGAAAGGAGGAGACAGGCGAGGGCAGGGCGGTGGGCGCCGGGCGGGGCCGCGCGCCCGCCCGCCCCTCCATGCCGCGGCCGCCCGGGTCCGCAGCGCGGCTCCGCGCCTCGCCGCGGCCGCTCGGGGAGGGGTCGGGTCACGTTCCGGGGCTGGGCGGCTCACAGGCAGGTTCCGCAGGCGCCGCTGGGCGGAGCCGCCGCCGCCGCCCGAGGAGGCGGCCCCGCGGCCTCCGCCTTCCGCGGCCTCCGCCTTCCGCGCCCGCGCGCCCGCCGGCCCCGACCCCGACCCCGACCCCGACCCCGGGCCCTGGGCTGCGCCCCAGCAGGTATTTAAGGGCGCCCCCCCGGGCCCCCCCGGCCCGGGCCGAGACGCCGAGCCCTGACCTCGCGGTCGCGCCCTTTCCAGCTGCCTCGCCGGCGTGAAGAAACGCAAACAACGATTTGAGAGAATTGCAGTCCCTCCTTCAAAAAAAAAAAAAAAAAAGAAAGAAAGAAAAGAAAAAAGAAACTCTGATGAATCCCAAATGCAGGGCACTGGCGTCCTTGTGAAAAAGGCACGTTACAGGTACTTGGAGAAAAATCACTGCGGCGCTCGTCGTCAGGCAGGCAGCTACCTGCACGTGTCTGCCGTGGGAAGGCCCCACGGGAATGTTCCCAACTTCCCTTATTTTCCTTTACGTTTACTTCCCCACCTTCACAGATGTAATGAGTCCGAGGTGCGTGAAGTTCTCTTCAGGAATGTTTTCTACGTCGGGCAGGCGGCACAGAATCATGTTTAAATCAGACCAGAGGTTTACTGCCTCCTGAGAGGTGCAAGCCCCTGTTGTTGTTTGACGCTACACGTTTTGTGCTTTTTTTTTTTTTTTTTTTTTTTTTTTTTTTAGATGTGGGTTCATCAAAATAGCTCTGTTTCGAGATTGCATTACACTCTGGAAAACTAGAGACCTGAGGTGGTGACAAACCAGGACTCGGAATCAGTGAATAGGACAATCGGAGCTTTATTCTAGTGTTCTTTGAGCATTTGAGCATGAAGCTGCTTCTACTGAGAAGTACTCACGTGGATATCACATAACAAAGATGTGATTAACGACGGAAAAGCACACTGCGAGTGCACTGCTCCACAAGCCAGGATTTCTGTGTAGGAATAATCTAGCTCCTAAAATACTCCACTTGCAATGTAGTGGATTTGGGACAGTGGTCCCTAAAGGAATCTTTGTTGTGGAATGTCCATTTGGACGCTGCCTGAGGGGCTTTTTTTTTTTTTTTTTTAACTGGCCAAAGCACTGAGAGGTTTGGGGTGGGTTCGAAAGATAAAATAGCTCTGTACTCCTTTTCTGCCTTTAAATCCTGCAACTAAAGTGCATTTGTTCCTACTGCTAATCACTTACGGTTAGTTTTGGGGTAAGCCTCTGGGAACCTCCAGTTCAGCTTTCAGAGGAGGAAAGGGAGCTCATCTGGAGATGGGAGACCGCTGAGCGCTTGGGGCAGTGAATTAAGCCTGAAGGCCACAGATGCAGAGCCCACATTCTGCCTCTGCCTTTGACCTCTAAGACTTCTGCTGGTAGGAAGCAATCTCTCCCGCTGCTCCCTGTCCTCTGGCGGCCAGGAGATGTTACTGCAGCTTTAATGGGATTACCTGTGCTCTTGGAGTAACCCTCCCCAAATGGGCTACTAACTATAGACCTGCTGTTTTTAGAACATCTTGGAAGGGGTAGTTTAAAATGATCTGCATCTCAAATCTGCTGAGTTGGAGGAGTTGGAACTTGAGGGAAGGAAGGAAAAGAGAATCCTTGTCCTACAGGTGAAGAAGAGCACAGATCTTGCCTAGGTGAAAGACTCAGCGACCTTTACGGTACTGCACATCTTGAAACTTTTCTTCCCTTCTTTATGTGCCTTCCATGCATGTGGTATCATAATAGCTAGTGTGGGAGCCTTCCCAGTATCTATCATCTGATAAGGGAAACAGGACATAGATTAAAACTAATTAGAAAGTTAATTCGTGATTGAGAGGCACATAATCTTGCTTAAAAGAGTCCAGCAGAAAAAAAAAGAGCAGCGTAGGCTGGGGTTGTCAGGGAAGGCATCTTCTGAAGAGCTTTGACCTCATCCTTAAAGGATAACTAAAATCTAGTTTGGGTTAAAAGGGCAGGGGGCTGGTGGGAGGTGAGGGGAAGGTGGTGGTGTGGAACTATTCTACAGGAGAAATGGGGTGAGCAAAGACATGGAGGTGGAATGAATGAGGTGTATTCGGGAGAGGGACAAGAAGACCCTCCAATAGTAGTGGAGATCAGTGCATGGAAATTAAGAACTGTGCTAAATCGGAGCACCTGGGTGGGTGGCTCAGGGGTTGAGCATCTGCTTTTGGCTCAGGGCATGATCCTGGGGTCCTGGGATGGAGTCCTACATCAGGCTCCCCACAGGGAGCCTGCTTCTCCCTCTGCCTATATCTCTGCCTCTCTCTCTGTGTCTCTCATGAATGAATAAATAAAATCTTTTTTAAAAAATGGGCTAAAGTTAAGAGATTTAGAGGCACATTATCAGGTACTTGAATGTTGCTTATTAGTCTGGCAGGTTAATGTTGAACAGGTTTACTTTGCCAAAGAGAACATTTCCCCTTGTTTTACTAAAAGAGCTCCTATATATGCTAACAACAAACATGGAAACAAAAACTACCACTTACAGTTGCTCCAAAGAATATGAAATCTTTTGGTGTAAATCTAACAAACCATGTATGGGATCTGGATGCTGAAAATTATAAAATGCTGGTGAAATTAGAGAAGGCCTAATTAATTAGAACAACTCATTATATTCATGGATTGGAAGAACCAATATAATCAATGTCAGTTCTTCCCAAATTGATCTATAGATCTAACACAATACCTATCAAAACCCCAGGGAGATTTTTTACAAGCAGAGACAAGCTGAACCTAAAATTTCTTCTGGCACGTTTAAAGGGATGAGTGAGTGCCAGATTCCCCAAAGTCAGATAAAGAGCTCATCAACTTAGGACACCAGTAAAGCAGGGCCCCCATGGTCTTAGAATCAGACAATCTAGAAAGAAGCTAATTTCATTTCAGTACATGTAAGCATGTGGTTCAATCTTGTTTTCAGTCAGAGTTAAATATGGGGGAGGAGCGCCATAATCTTTAGTGCTTAGACCCTCTTAAGTTTTTAATCCACCCCTGGCTAGAGCTTAATCATTCATTCAACTATTGGTAATTGAGTGCCTACTACCAGCATGTGCCAGGCACTGTGCCTGGCTCTGAGAGTTTGATTATAAATGAGAGGCAAGACCTCTTCCCTCATGGAACTGACATTCTAGTTGGGAGAGAAGACAACATGCAACTAAAAACAAGGAGTGTGATAGGACTGTGTAGGGAGAAAGCTGGATGATGTGATAGCAAATGATCGGGGTAGGGGCAAAGGTGATTGAGAAGGGCATCCACGAGGAGGGGACATTTGAACTCATCCTTGGGAGTTGGCAACTAGAAACATGGTCTGGGCAGAGGAAAGAGGTCATTCTGAAACTTCAGTAGAAGCAGAAGGATTCTATCCTAAAAGATTTAAGCTGGTTAGTACATGATCTGATTTATGAAGGGGTATTTGTAACTAAGCATAATAGTTTAGTTTTGAAAAGAGTTTGAATAATATTCTATAAATATTTAATCTGGCAGTTCCCTTTTCCAATAGGAAGGAAGCATTTTTGATAATTTAGTTAATCTCTGGGAATCCCTTTAATGTCCCCAAATCAAATATTCTTGCCCTAAGATTCATGTATTCCTAGAGAATATATAGATGGGCTTCTGAGGGTCTAGGAGACTCCCAAAATGTTGTGCATATATCCTTATGTGGGTTTTTCTGTGAATGGGTCCCTAGCTTTCAACATATTTTCAAAGGACCAGCACAAAAAACAAACAAACAAACAAAAACCAAGAAGACCTAATTTACATTTAAGTCTTGACTGTGACTTTTGGATAGTAGTGGCTGCTATTGTCCTGGGGTTCATGGCACTATTCAAGTGAATCACCATTCTGTAAAGCAGCAAGTTTTGCCTCAAAGAGATGACACCTTATTGGAGGAGAACAGGATTTGTGGTAGAGTAGAAGGAAATATTCCAAGAGTTTGCCTCCTAAGAAACCTCATGAAAGAAAAGTTTTCCTTATGTGATGTGAGAACTAGAAGATACCTAAGATATTGCCTGGTACCATCACACTCACTTTACATATAAGAAAGTGAAGGTCCAGAGAGGTTAAATGACTTGCCCGAGGATGCACAGATAGTCAAGGACTAAACTAGAATTAGAAACAGGTCTCCCATGGGCTTAGTGGTTGAGCATCTGCCTTCCACTCAGGATGTGATCCTGGGGTCCTGGGATGGAGTCCCATATCAAGTCCCGTATCCAGTCCTGTATTGGGTTCCCCTCGGGGAACCTGCTTCTCCGTCTGGCTATGTCTCTGCCTCTCTGTGTCTCATGAATAAATAAATAAACTAATCTTTGGAAAAAAAAAAAAAAGAAATAGGTCTCCTAACAGTACAGCACTCTGCTCCTCCTCTAAAACAAACAAAGAAATTGAACCAAATATAGGACTTAAAAGTCTAATAGGAATTAAGTGATCAATTCCATTCAATTAAATGAAGCAAATATGCATTCCTTACTAAGGAAATGGAAGGAAAGAAGGAAGTAAAGGAGTTCAAAAAACATAAAATCCCAGCTCTGAAAGAGAAAAAAACTTCAATGTCAAATTAAGACATACAACCAAGAAAGAGCAAACAGCAATAATACCGTGTTATCAGTATATATCTGATCTTTCTGTAACAAATATTTAAATAGACAATAAGTTATAAAAACTAGATGACTTTTCACTTATCAATTCAGCAAATTTTTTTAAATTTGTAATCCCAGGATGAGGTCAAGAGTATGACAAAATAGGCCTTCTCAATGTCACTGGTGAGAGTATAAATTGTTGTAACTTTTCTAACAGGGCAATTTGGCAATATGCTTTCAAAAGTCTAAAAATGCATACCCAGCAATTCTACTTTAAAAATTTATTTTATGGC